CCCCACCCAGTTCTTGTATGCATAAATAAATGAAAATTGAGCTTAAAAATTCTTTTCTCAAGACAGATACCGTCACCTGAAGACAAAAAATACATGCAAAATATTAATTTACATAGTATAATTCTTTCCACCGAGGAATACTAAGCTCCCTTTTGTGTTATATATACAAATATACACACATACACACACATGCATGTATACACACACATATATTATATGAATTTTTTGAAAGATGTATTTATTTTATGCATTCAAGAGCTAGGGTATTAGTCAGACTTGCCGAGTCCGGGGGTAGTGAGAGGATTCACAAGTCAGAGTGAGGAGCAGACCAGATTGACTGAAATACACTGCTGAGGGAAGCAGTGGGGGAGACAGGAGAGGTTTGCCACGCCATGTGGGTCAGCTCCTTGGCCAGCTGGGATTGAGTTTATGCTGCAGTGGCTGCCCATAGCTTCATAGTGCTGAGACTTAACCCCTAGGCCACTAGGGGGGCCCTATATTATATGAAACTTAAGGAATATCCATCCAAGTCATCAAGAACAATTCACTTACATCTTGATAAATCAGGGTACAATTGGAGGGGTAGGTAGGGTATTTCCTGGCAGAGTTATCAGCACTGTCAGTATACACATACCAAGCCATGGTATGTGCTGGAATACAGAAAGAGAAGTCTAAAGAGCCCAGCAGATGAGATAGAGGGACTTTTATATTATGTGAAGGGTTTGAAGCATTTTTTGGCCTATTAGACTTACTGAGTTATGGAGTGAGAAGGGAAGAGAACCAAAGACAAAATCCCAAAGAAATCACATAGGAAATTGAGTAGAAAGTAACAGAGATATGGGAAGAACCAGGAAAGTGGTATTCAGGAAAGAAAGGGAAAATTCCAAGTGAAACCTGGTGGTAAACACTGTCAAGTATTACTGGAGTGTCAAATTAGCTAAGAACTGAATAATTCATTAAATTTAGTAATTAAAAGTTATTTATTTTTAAACCTTTAGCAGAGTTGCAACATGCCATAAATTGTGGATTGATGAATCAGTTAACATGTAGTATTTCTGATCTGTGAAGCACTGTGCTAAGAAATATTTATTCATTTAATCCCTACAACAGGTGCATTAAATAAGAACTAGTATCATTTCCTTTTCACAGATAAGGAAAGGAAGGCACAGAATCAGAAAATTTGGTCAAAGACACACAGCTTGTAAATTGTGGGACTAGATTTAGGCTTTCTAGTTCTAGAAACCATGCTGTTTTTTTTTTTTAATTAAAGGCAGATTTTACTTTATTTACACCATTCTTCATTTTGTGCATTTTTTCATCTCGGTTGTAAGACCTGTGGACTTCCCACCACCACTTCACCCATGTGCCAGCACCATAGTCCCATGTGCTACTCCCACCCCAGTTTTTAGCCTATCCCCCTCTCCAGCCCTATAAATGTCTCTGGTTTATAGTTGCTCGAAATCATGCTTTTAACCACTATTTATGAAAGGTAGAATAGACTGGAATTTGTTTTTAATAGAAAGGACTTAATTAACCACATTTACAGGAAATGGGAAAGGAGCTAGGGAAAAGAGAGGCATTAAATACAAAGGAAAGGAAACAGGAAATAATGGACACACCTCCTCTTAGTGAAATGCAATGGAAGGAATTGAGAGTACAACTGGAAGAACTAATGTGGAATAGGAGAGGAAATAAATGTGTAACCAAGGTAAAATCTTAATAAAAGAAAAACTTCCTCTGTATTACACAAGAATTCCCAAGCCTCACCTTCAACTTGTGGGTATTAATAGGAGTGACCTTGATAGCAAATTTCAGTGGTTTCTAGTTTTGTATATTCTTGAAGGATATCCAGCTCACTAAAAAAAAAATCCTAGGGATCTTTCATGTATGTACCCACAAACAAATCAGTTAACTGCAATATATAATCTGCTTCACCCCTCCCCCGGCCCCGCCCCTGTTTTCTTCCTCTGGACTCCTTTTTTTTGTTACCATAATGTCTTCCAGACTCCACCATCTCCTGCTGCATATAGGGGATTGGAACCCTTAAAGAAATCAAAACCACATGCTGAATTAGAATATAACCTCAGCCTCTCCTCTGGGTCATATCTATCATTATTAGAGGGAAAACAAAGTGGTGCTTCTATAACCCCATCTCAAAGAGTTTTACAGGAATATTTTTGTTTGTTTTGCATAGAACTCTGGTGTGGGTCAGAGGTGGGATGGGGGGAGAGGATTCACCAGAGACAGAGTGGGGAACAGAACATGTGGATCCAGTGAAATACACTTCTGAGGGGAGCAGCAGGTGAGACAGGAGAGGTCTGCTGCGCCATGTGGGTCATCTCCCTGGCCAGGGCTCAAACTCAGCTCAAAGTGGTAACAGAGTGAGACTTAAACGCTAGGCCACCAGGGAGACCCTTCCTTTTCTTTTTTTAAAATTGTAACTCCTCTTTTCCCTAGGTCTCAGAACTAGATGCAAGAGCAACTGGATCAGAAGACAACTTTGAGATTGAGGCCTCTCTTTCATAAAACTGTTTTGCATAAAACTGCAACTCTTCTCTGACAAATAAGACTGTTATTTTGCATAACTTTCTTTTTTTAGGACAAGTTGTCTGCCTTCATTCAGAAAGCTTGGATTAGGGTTAGAGTCCCCTGGTACATAAGCATTAGTATATAGCACAAAATGCTGTTTCTCCAAATCAGTTGCAGAACAGTAAGATATTTTTTAGCCCAGGATATTTTGGGTGGAAATACCCGAAGCCTATTTTAACTAGGTTAAACGAAAAGAAAGAATATACTAGAATACAGTACAGGAAGGCAGTATAAAGTATCGTTTACTCTCCAACAGACTAGAACTGATTTACTTA